GGGGGGGGTTTGAGGGAAAATCTAAAAAAAATAATATAGAAAACTAATGAACACCTTCACACGACCATTAGATCAAAAAAATAAAAGGCTAAAATTAAAATGGCATACTTGTAAATAAAACGGAAATTAAGGAGATTTAAGGAAGAGTGTAATTGGATTGAAGGGCAGAATTGAGAAAAAGAAATCATTATTCTTTATTTTATTTTAAATACCAAGTTTGTAGCATTTAACTCTCTTTTTATCTCTCACATAAACTCCCAACATGTTATCTCTCTCTCACTCGTAAACACAATAAACAACCGTTCTCTCCAAAAATTGATTTGAAATTACCATTATGAGAAATATGAAGACGGTTTTTATACTTGAAACTTCATAGTAAAATATTGTGAAGATAATTTTTACAGTGTTTTTGTTATGAAGATTCGACTTTTTTTTTACCTTTACAATATTTTGTTGTGAAGTTTTAAGTGTACAAAATCATGTTCCACATGTCTTACGAAAACAACCTTGTACCCAACCCTATACACACACACACACATATATATATATACACACACATATATATATATATACATACACACACACACTAGTTGTGTACACACACACACACACTAGTTGTGTACCCACACAATACGGCGAAAGCCGTGAATTTCAACGGTTTTGAAGTTTAACTGGTTTTATTATAGAAGATTTAACGATGATATAAGTTACACTTGGTATTTACATATTAATACAATTTAAATAAATAAGAGTTATAGTTCCAATTACAGTCTAACGATGAAAAAAATTGTATGACAGTTTAAAATCCAACATATTTGAACAACTCCACAAATATGTTCGATTTACACCAAGAGCAAAGAATCAAAAGATCGAGAGCGAGACCGAAAGTTCTAAAACAATTGAAAAGAAGATGAATGAGATAACTTTTAATAACTCATTGTGAATATCAATTTGAATCTCATCTTAGGGGATGATGAAAAGACATAGAGGTATGAGAGGGTGAAAGCATGAATGAAAGATGTCAAAAACATCTTGGGAACATAAAAAGAAAATGTAATAATGTGTATTGGTAACTTGTACTATATATTATTTTATTTGTCGATTAAGAGATTTTAATAACTGAATGTATAAAATAGTAATACTTAATGCATTAAAAGTTGATTTTAAAATTTTGTACATAAAGTATAGTACTTTATGTATTAAAAATTGTTTTTAAGACTTCTGATAAATCTGGTATATATATTAAATATTATAAATTTTGAAATTTGATAACCAAATATGAATATTTAAAATAAAATATATTAAAGTAAAAGTTAAAACTTAAATTTTGTATCTAAAATATTTATGAAACAAGATAACTTTTACTTTTATTTAATTTTATAAAACATTTTTAAAATTATTACATTTCCTTTTTTTGACAAGTAAATGTACTGAACAATGATAAAGCTGATAATCTATACCTTATTATAAAACATTTGATAAAAACTCTTAAAAACGATTTTTTATGTATAAAATACTGTTTATTGATTTATATTACTTAAAATTTAAGATAACAAATAAATTATACGTAAGTATAATTTATTAAAGCTCTTTGTTTAAATTTTTGTAACTAACTACAGATAAACATAATCAAATACATGATAAATATATTATTTTTAAATATAAAAAATGAAATATAATTACGATAATCATTGAGTTCTAACAAAATACTTAATTATTATCTTTATAAAAAAATATTTTTAAATAAAAAACAAATTACTTCGCTATTAAACCTAATTTAAATTATAAAAAAAGTTTGAATTAAAGAAATTACACAAAAAGAAAACTTTTAAATAGTTAATTGGACACTGATATCGATATATTTTTTCCAAATTTTTATGATATATTAAAATTTATATTTTATTTAAAATAAAAATATTCTCGCTTTCACAAAACCACATAAAAAACAGAGATATAGAATAAAATGAAATATTAAAATCGATATATATCTTGCTACATTGTGCGAGTATCCTTCTAGTAACAATAATATAAATACTTTCAATAAGATTTTAATATTCTAAGTAAATAATAATTAATATTAATAAATAATTTACAATTAAACTAGCTTATGTTTATCTTTAGATTCACCCACTTACATAATAATTTTGAAAATTAATTGATTTTTATAATAGATTTAAAAAAAATAGTTTTTATAATGTTTTTTTTTTTAATTTTATTTGATTTTTATTAGGTGATTAGACTATAAATAAATTAAAAATACATTATATTTTCGTAGGCGATATAAAATGGGGCCCAATTAGATGTCAAAATAATTGGGCTGTACGGAGGCCCGATTAGATGTCAATATAATTGGGCTGGAATTATATATGGAGGCCCAATTATATTTGTATGTATAATCACTATAATGTATCTTCATAAATGATACTTGGGCCAGGGTCGTTTACTAAATGCTTACCCGGTAAGTGTTTATTGGGTAATTTTCTTATCTAATGAACATGGCAAGGGTGAAAAATTTTACTCGGTAAGATCAATGATAAAGATGAAAAGTCTTACTCGATAAGTGAGAGTGACGACTCTTACATGGGTAAACACTTACCGGGTAAAGTATTGATTACAATACCATTTTGATGTACTACAATTTTACATAATAAAATAAATTACAGTGTTGACTCATAACGTTAAGCACTTATCGGGTAAGCATCTAGATAAACGGCGCCTTACTGGCTTCATATATTTCAGAAAACACAGTTTTTTTCGAAGCTTCTTGTCACCTTTTGGCATGAGCTCATGACAACCTTGCACCACCTGTGTCCTCATTTCCGAAGGCACCCTTCTCTTTCAAGAGGATTCGCGAAACCTAGAAATCGATCATTGATCCAATTTGAGCAGGGTGATATAAAGTTGGTCCTCCTCTTAAGGCAACATATCCATGGTTAGTACATTCATGCTGATATAAAGTCTGTCTTTTAATGATTTTAAAACTCTCTGAATGATTTTGTATCTTTGACTTCCCTTAACTATTCAGCGCCTTAATTTCACTGTAAACAATAATCAAACAATTATATTTCATTTTGCACTATATCATTAGAACATTTTAATTATTTTAACAACTTAATCATTTTACACCAAACCATTCAACAACTTATCGAATCTTAATCCTTAAAATTGGTAACTTGAAAGAGGTTAAAGGGAAAAAAATGGTTTTATTCAACTTACGGTCAAAGGAACACCTTTCCTAAGGTCAACCGCATCCATTTCTCTTCAAACGACGCCGTTCGCTTCACAAAGGGCCCACAAAAAGCTCTCCGCGTCCGCATATTACGGCCACCGGCCCACCGCTCGCAGGTGGGGCTCCAAAAGCTCCATTTAACTATTTTACTTATAAATTACGTTTTTATAAATAATATCATTTTTTCCAATTTTAAAAACAATTATTTATTGATTTAATACCTAATTATTTAAGTAATAATTAAATATTTAAAATATCATTTAGCAAAGAAAAATTAACAAAAAAGAAAAGAAAAAAAGAAATACGAAATACCATTAAAATTTAAAAAAATATGTGTTTCCAAACATAATATAAAATGATTATCAAGTGAATTTTGTGTAAAAACATTTCTAATAAATTATTTAAAGGGCAAATTGCATGAAAAAATAAAGTACTTTAATTTAATTTTTATTTTGGTTAACGTACTGTTAAAACTTTCATTTTGGTACCTAAGATGTAAAGTTTTAAATATTTAAGTACCCGGGTAACCGGTTGAAACATTAATTGGTTACAATACCGACGTGCGAGTGATGCGGTATTCAACTTAGTATTATTTGCTGACGTGGTTAGTGACATGAATTGTTTTTGATCTAAAATTTGTATTCAACTGGTTATCCGAGTACTTAAATGTTTAAAACTTTATTTCTTAGATACCAAAATAATTTTTTTGAAAGTATGTTACCCAAAATAAGAATCAAGTTAAAGTACGTTACTTTTTTATGCAATTTACCATTTTTTAAAATAAAGAAAATGGATAATTTAAAAAATTTAAACAAATTTTTTGCTCCAACAGATTCTTCAAAATAACAAAAATAATAGAGATCTATAATTCTTTAGAGAATTCCCCATTATAAGAGTAGAATATTTTTTTTCTAGAGGAAATTACAAATTTGATCCCTATGGTTTGTTAAAAATAACTCTTTTTCATCTTTACGATTCTGAAATTACAAGATGATCTTCATGGTTTTTAAAAATATTTAGATTTGGTCCCTTCTTTTAACGATCATAAAAAAATTCCGTAAATTAGGGGTATTTTTTTAATTTTTTATCAAATTTTTTTGTTATTTACCTAATAAAAAATGACAGGGGCTAAATTATAAAATCGATTTTGATTAGTTAAAAGACATAAAATTCAATAAAAGAATGAAAATGCTAATTATTTAATGAAATTTTTTAACTACCGTTAAAGAAGAGATCAAATCCGAATGTTTTTGTAAACCACGATATCCATCTCGTAATTTAAAAACTAGAAAGACGAAAAATGTTATTTTTTAACAAACCATAAGGACCAATTTTGTAATTTACTTCCTGTTTATTATATTAATATTTATTATATTTTATTAAATATATGAAATATTTTAATAACATAAGAAAAACAATTGTAATTAAATATATATATTTTTTAAAATCTGAATATTTAAAAAAATCAATTTTATAAGATTTTAAAAAATTAATTATGTATTTTAACTCTTAAAATTGATAACGAATATTTTAATTTGTAAGAATAATTGATTTTAAACAAATAATCATTGAATAATTTTCCTAAAATTAAATATTTTTTTACATAAAAATCTTGTAAATCATTTAAAAATGGAAAATAATAATATTATTATATAAAAAATTTAAAAATACTTATTTTGTCTTATTTTAATTTTTAATTAATGTTATTAATATGAATTCAGACCGATTCCGAACAACGTGCGAGGGAACTCACAGCGAAAAGAACACAACAAATGTGATCATCATTGATCGTCTTAGCACAAAACTAGGGATTTCATTTTTGCTGGATATTCGGTTCAAATCAATGGCTGCTCTGCTGCTCGATCTCTGTTTTTGCAATTGATTTATTTCAATTCGTTGCAATAAGCAATTTGTGATTGTTTGAGAGTTTAATTTTTGGAATTAATAAAGTTCTACTGACTTAAATGTTGTTATTGAAGTTCAATTAATGAAGCAAATGAAGAAGGTATAAATTTGTATTGATTTTTATTGACTTGTTGTTACATTGAAGTGATTCTGACAGCCGCTGCTTTGCTTCCTGATCTGATCCAAGCTTCACTGTTGAAAAATGGTAGGTACTGTTTGATTGTTTAATCTGGCATTCAATTGTATTTACTGTTCGCTAGAATTGTCGAGGTATATTATGATCTTTATTTAGTGATAATTTTTTGATGTGGAACGATGATGATTTGAGTATAGTAGATGGATATTTGATAATTTGAACTGTTTTAATGTTTTCAGTTTTTGTTATTTATTCCTTGTGAGTTTTCTTGCTCAGGAAAGAAATGGAGTTGATGATTTGTATATGTGATTGTGGGTTTGTATGGAGTGTGGACTTTTGTGTATGTTGAAGGGTGTGCCTTATATTGGTGTCGATGAATGGTCAGGGTGAAGTTGTTATGATGAGTGTATGTTTGTAAATTTTAGTTCAAGAACATGGTTGATCTGGTGAGCATATAGTGTTTCATATATAATAATATTATGATGGAATTTTGTTATGGTTTTTCTTGGTATCGTTACTTTATCAAAATTTAATGGGTTGATATGTGCTAGTATTAATTAAGTTGGTTACACATGGTGGGTAACCTTAATGATGGATGTTCTATTTCGAAATTAATTGGTCAAGAATACCTTGTTGGGTTCTGTTTTACAACCCAGGGCATTGGTTTTAGACGATTTTGTGATCTAGAACTCTATGTTCTGCCTTAAAAAGTACATTTTTTTGCTCCTGAAATCGTGCTGACTCACTCCATGTTATTTTCTAAGTAATATTCAATCTTCATGTTTATCAGTATTGATTCTTTTTCAATGATCAGCAAAGTGCTTCCATTAGCTATGTTTTAGTTGGATGCAAAGGGGCATACGAAATAGTTTGTTTAAACTTGGCAGCGAAGGCCAAAAGACCTTTAGGCTAACCCTTATGATGTTTCTTTTTTGATAATTTGATAATCGTAGAACTGCCTTAAAAGAGTGGTTACTTCTCTTAGAACAATTACACTTGTTGAAGGTGGATTATATCTAATTATCAGTGCCTTTGGTTTGTAGGCGGCCTCTGTCAGTGTAGGGGTCGGATCACTTGTCTGGGTGGAGGATCCAGTTGAGGCTTGGATAGATGGGAAAGTTGTTGAGGCAACTGGTGCAGACATTAAGGTTGTTTCTACTTCAGGGAAAACGGTGAGTGCTGTTTCTTAATCTTTGACATTTGTTAATATACCTTGAGTTGATTATTAATATCATGATTTAAACAATTACTTGCTTTTTGAATTTATTGAAGTGATTTGTATTTGTTTTCCTGTTAGTCAACCACCAGATCACTGAAGGGAAGCTCAAGCTTCTCTTACTTATTTCATGCAATATTTCTGTGCCATACTATACTCAATTTGCAAGTGAGAAGTTGAGGCCTTATGTTTGTACAATTAGGAAATTAGGATATTTATGTATTCATTTTTCTTTTACATTGATAATAGGTTGTTGCCAAGGCATCAAATGTATATCCGAAAGATGCTGAAGCACCACCATGTGGAGTGGATGATATGACGAAATTGGCTTATTTGCATGAACCAGGAGTTTTAAGTAACTTACGATCGAGATATGATATTAATGAGATATATGTGAGTTATCTTGTTCCATATCTTTTGTGCTATACAAGAATGTCCATTTCTTTTTCTTCTTAAAAAACAGCTGAGATAATAAGTTGAAGCTGATGATGGTGCTACCAGACTTATACAGGGAGCATATTGATAGCTGTAAACCCTTTCACAAGATTACCACATTTGTACGATAGCCATATGATGGCACAGTATAAAGGGGCAGGATTTGGGGAATTGAGTCCCCATCCTTTTGCTGTTGCAGATGCTGCATACAGGTACTACATGACATTCATGTCATAGTGTGCTAATTTATGGATTGCATCATTTTTATCCAAAATGAGCAAAACTATTCTTTTGTTGCAGAGTTATGATGAACGAAGGTATAAGTCAGTCTATACTTGTTAGTGGAGAGAGTGGAGCTGGTAAGACTGAAAGTACAAAACAGCTGATGCGATATCTTGCTTACATGGGAGGTAGAGCTGCTTCAGAGGGAAGAAGTGTCGAACAGAAGGTCCTGGAGGTGATCACTCTTCACATTTGGTCATCCTCGGGAACTGATAAGAATGGAGATGATTTTGATTCTTGATTTGATGTCTTTGATGACACATTTAATCTTATTGAGACCACTTAAACTGTTCATATGCCTTATATGTTGTAGTCCAATCCTGTCTTAGAAGCTTTTGGTAATGCGAAAACTGTGAGAAACAATAACTCAAGGTGAGGTGAACTTCCATTTGCAATTCCCTGGACAGTCCTGCATCTGTTCTACATTAATCATTTCCAGTAATGCTTGTCTATTGCCACCATTTCAGTCGTTTTGGCAAGTTTGTGGAGATTCAGTTTGATCAGAAGGGAAGGATTTCAGGGGCTGCTATTAGAACGTACTTACTGGAAAGATCTCGTGTTTGTCAACTATCACATCCCGAAAGGAATTATCATTGCTTCTACATGCTTTGTGCTGCACCACCAGAGGTAACAAGTCTTCACCTTACTGGAACAGGAGTAAAAATGTGCTTATGCATAATTTATTCTTTCTTCTTCTGAACACAAAGTTGGATCTGTTTTATGGAGATTTTTATGTTGTGGTAGTTCATAGATGGTTTTTTCAATCTGCTTTGTTAATCACATGAACTATTTTCTCGTTTGCCAAAAATGATTGCAAAATGTTCATTTTGCTCTAGCAGTTTGTTTGGTTCATCATTATATAAACTTATTTATTTGATTATTCTCTTATTTCCAATATCTTGTTTCCACATTTCTTATCAATCTTATCTATTGTGCTTCTAGGATCGTCAAAGATTCAAATTGGGAGATCCAAGGACATTCCATTATTTGAATCAATCAAACTGCTACCAGATTGATGGTTTAGACGAAGCAAAAGAATATATTGCTACAAGAAATGCAATGGATGTTGTAGGAATTAATTCCGAGGAGCAGGTATATGTAAAGAAAAAAAGGCATGAACTACTGATTTTAATTTATTCTTCTGATGCTATTGTTTATCATCACAGGATGCAATTTTTAGAGTTGTGGCTGCAATTCTTCATCTGGGGAACATAGAATTTGCAAAAGGAAAGGAAATAGATTCATCTGTTCCCAAAGATGAAAAATCTTTGTTCCACCTAAGGACTGCTGCCGAGTTGTTCATGTAAGTGGTCAGAAGCATTACACATGCAGACTAAGAGAGTGGACTGTTCTTTTGCACTTTGCAGAGACTACGACTTATTTTACACTTTGCTATATAGTTGATATTATGAAGAACAAGTAGATGTCTTATTAAGTAAAAAAGATTTGTTCAGGTGTGATGTGAAAGCTCTAGAGGATTGTCTATGCAAACGTGTAATTGTAACACGTGATGAGACCATCACCAAATGGTTGGATCCAGAATCTGCTGCTGTCAGCAGAGATGCTTTAGCAAAAATCGCATACTCGAGGTTATTTGACTGGTAAGCCTCAATTTCTGTTACGGACGGTTTTGTGCTGTTGACTCAACTAGGCTCATAATACCGTCAAATGTTTGTGAGCTGCAAGCTTAATTTTGACACTTACAGTTATGTTATGCAATTTGTATTTGCAGGCTCGTAGATAAGATCAATAGTTCAATTGGTCAGGACTCACGCTCAAAATACATAATTGGAGTACTAGACATATACGGATTTGAGAGTTTCAAGACAAACAGGTGCTTCACTGGTATGCCTTCTGTTTGCATTGTTGACCTCATCTGATGTGTAGGTGGCGTAACCTTTAGGGGTGGGCCAGGTGGCCCATTGGGCTTCACACCAGATTTGAGGTTCTCAAGTTCTACTATTCCCATGCCTCATCACATTAGCATCAGGTTACTAGAAAGACGAAAATTCATCCTTTGACAAACAAATTCTGAGTTGTTGACATGTACTATATGTAAGAAGCAAGTTATGAATCTTGACCAGCTAATCAAAAGAGAGACAATTGTCCTAAATATAGAGCATCAATGCCATGCAACGTTAATTGGTCAAAGGAGTGTCTTATTGAAAACCTCAATCACATGTTCTTGAATGCCTTCTGTTTAACCTTGACAGGCAGCTCAACCGGCAAATAATGGCCATGCCTTTGGGCTCCTTCCCACAGGTCACTGATTCGTGTCTAATCAGGGGGACTTGGGATTTGTCTGGCTATTATTTTCAGGGCCTCATGGGATTAGTCGAGGTGCGCACAAGCTGGGCCTAACATCCATGGTTACCGAACAAAGAGTACCTTCGGTTTCAATCATCCTTTTGGATCCTTTTCAGTAACATTCTAAAAATCTAACTATTTTTCAAGCTACTAAACAGTAAACACCAAACAACAGCATGAGGTGAAAACTAGTCAACTGAATGACATCATTATACTTTCTAATACGTCAAAATGATCATGAATTTCGTTATGGTCCATCCTTTTGTAGCACCATCACCTTAAAGGACAGGGTTGAAAATAATACTTGTCACTCTTCATTACTGACCTGATTCTTCTACTCAATTAACTTTAGCATACTGGTTCTAATAGTGAGATTGGGGTCTATTTAGAATGAGCTGAAGCCATCTGTTTATGGTAGGGTCTAATGCCAGTCCTATTTTGTGTTGGTTGTAATACATGGTGTAGCTATAGAATTATATGTCGCTGGTTTAAGTATGAGCCACTCAGAGCTCCTGCTCCCAGCCTTCCCCGTAATATCACAGCTCGTGGGAATTCCTTGCTAATTTGTAGGCTGTAGCAGAAATGCCAAGCTTCCAATTGCAGCAGGAATCTGTCTCCAGATGGCCGGTTGGCTGCTTGCATTCTTATATTCTATCTTATACCATGTCCCAAATTTGGCAGCTTTGAGCAGTTCTGCATCAACTTGACGAATGAAAAACTCCAGCAGCATTTCAATCAGGTTGCATAGCAGGACTTAATAATTATCAAGGTTATAATTGAAAAAAGTGAAAATACTATGTATATGCAGCTACATAACGGATCATGTTGGTTTTGCAGCATGTCTTTAAAATGGAGCAAGAAGAATATACAAAAGAAGAAATTAATTGGAGCTACATCGAATTTATTGATAATCAAGATATCCTGGATCTCATTGAGAAGGTTGTGGTGATTTTATATGCTAAAGATTTCTTCTATACGACATTACCCTTTGCAGATATTATTTCTTTGCAGCTTTTTACTGTAATTGTTTTTGCTTCTGTTATATTTGTTAACATCAAAGGGGATACCATTGCCCACTGTTGTCATGACATGAAATCCCAGTCACCTCTTGCTGAAAGAGAATATCTTCATTACATATGCATTACTAGCATAACCACATGCTAAGTGTGGGTCTATGATTCGTCTGCGGTCACTTACCCAGTTACCCGTGATATATATTTTAGTTTTGAACGATGATTAGGTTATGAAATTAGATGTTTTTAAGGACATTTTATTGCCTGTCACATCTTATTTTGATGGTGGTGGCCGAAGATGCAGAAAATAATATGACACTTCTATTTTAATGGCGTTTTATTTTTGTAGACATCCATGCCATTTTTGTGCAGTGAAACCACTTTCACCGGATTGATTTATCATTATGTATTGATAGAAATACTTGGCACCATCTTATGTACTGTGATGCATTTTGGGCCTTTGGACTGGAATCTTAATCTCATTTGTCCTACATTGATGCCTACAAACTTTTTGTAGCCTTTTTATCTGAATAACTTGTTAACTGCCCCACCCCTTTTCTCCTGCTTTTCGTCCATTGTTATGTAAATCTAAGCTTGAACAGCAATTATATATTGGCTGTGTTTTGTGATTCATATCGTCTCACTTCTGATATATCGTCTTTTTAATGCTCAGAAACCGGGTGGCATTATAGCTCTCCTAGACGAGGCTTGGTAAGTGTGATACAGGAAGCTGATCTGTTTGTAGTGTTTTCTATAATAATATGAGCATTACTGTTCAGCTCATTGAGTTTTATAAAGTATAAATATAATGTTTCTGACATGCTGGAAGCTACTACTTGTGTTCTGCAGTATGTTTCCTAGGTCAACACATGAAACATTCTCGCAAAAGCTGTACCAAACTTTTAAGAACCACAAGCGGTTTGCTAAACCAAAATTGGCGCGTTCCGACTTCACGATTTGTCATTATGCTGGTGATGTAAGTTCATAAGGCATACAGTTTTCTTCCTTCTTGGTATGCATATTTGCAGCTGGTCAGTTGCTGAAAAAATAAGATTAATCCTCATTCCTCAATAAACCATGAAATATTATTTCCAGACTCACTATTTTAAAGCGTGTACTTTGTATACTCGAGCTTACACAAATGATGGGAGTTTACATAGAGATTGAACATAGCTGAAACTTTAATTGATAAGCCTAATCGATTCTAAACAACTCTAGGGGTATTCTCTATGTTGGAGTCCCACATCGGCTAGACTTGGACCATTTTTCCTCAACATACGTTGGAACATTCCCTTTCTCCTCAAGGGATCTTTTTGGAGAGTGAACCGAGGGTTCCACATATTTTCACATGGTATTAGAGCTAAGGTCTGCCACTCTGGCTAGCCCTCTCTTGACACTCTGGGAAAATCAGTGTCCATCTAGCCTCCATTGGAGGAGGCGTGGACTCCCACATCGGCTATACTTGGACCATTTTTCCTGAACATTTGTTAGGACCTCCCCTTTCTCCTCAAGGGCTCTTTTGGAGAGTGATTCGAAGGTTTCACATATTCTCACACTCTATACCAAAGTCTAGGATGTTATCTCTTAGAAGAAGATTTATCATGGGTTTGGGCAAGAGCAACCACTTCTGATTGTATGTGTTTGAATAAAAATTTGCATGGAGGGGGGGGGGGGGCATTATGGCAGTAAAGCAGAGATAAAAAGATAAAGTTGGAACATAAAAGAACCATGCGGTCAGGTCAGAATCAGTCTCTGATACAAGGGCACACGACAATATTTGACAAACAAATAACAAACGACAATATTTGAAGAACAAATAAATTTCCACATTACTGTGATGTGAGAAATTGAATTTTTTTCTTCAAGATAACATAAAATGATAGGAGAATGCATAGATACTGAATGCAACTTAAAAACCAATAAACAAACCTAATCTACTCTAGACAAATCTGGGATTATATCTACTCCTGAGCTTTTGAACATTGTTTCTTAGGCTAAAGTTTTCCTTTTTGATTGCGACTTTTGGTGGACCACGAATCATCAGTTTCAATTGTATTTTAGGTCACATATCAAACTGAGCTGTTCTTGGACAAAAACAAAGATTATGTCATTGCTGAACATCAGGCTCTATTAAGCGCTTCCAAATGTTTCTTTGTCTCAAATTTGTTCCCAACTTCTTCTGAGGAGTCCTCTAAGTCATCAAAGTTCTCCTCAATTGGCACACGATTTAAGGTATGATTTGTCAACCCCTCCCCTTCTTAATAAGATGCACATACATAAGTAACTTGTATTCTTTCTTTTTTCAGCAACAGCTGCAACAATTGCTTGAAACATTGAGCTCAACTGAGCCTCATTATATTCGTTGTGTAAAGCCCAACAATCTTCTCAAGCCTGCTATTTTTGAAAATCATAATGTTCTACAGCAACTCCGATGTGGGGTAAGGATGTACATGATATTCCAAAAGTGGTGTTATTTTGCTGTCTCTTTTTCTTTCCTTTCTTCTGAATATTCACTTAAAAAGTTACTTCATAGTTTTCATTGTTATCAATGGAGTCTCCAAATATAAATTTAATTGATACTTGTAATCTAATTAAGGGAGTCTTGGAGGCAATCAGGATTAGTTGTGCTGGGTATCCCACTAGAAAAGCATTTGATGATTTTGTGGATCGGTTTGGCATCCTGGCTCCTGAAGTTTTGGATGGCAGGTAAGTGAAATGATATTTCTGGTCATTTCAATATCCTCTAATAATTTAAGTGTATGGTGAGATGTATGAACTACTAGGACCTGACCTGCCTTGTCCTTGTGACTGACTTATAATAGCACGGATGAAATTGCTGCTTGCAAGAGGCTTCTGGAGAAAATTGGACTTGAGGGTTATCAGGTATATGAACTGCAATGTTAAGATGCTCTTTCCAAATATCAGATTCTATGTATGTCAGACATTGCCGTTGGACGAGAATGTGATTTTATTAAGTTTTGAAATTAAATCGTTTACTTTCTTAATATTGACAAGTTTTTGCCCATGCATGAAATTAATCAAATATCTTCTTGTTCTAATGCATAATTCAAAAGTCATTATTGATATGAATATGTTTTCTTGTACATGCTTCTAATCCATGTTGTGCTTAATATCTTTTAGCTTTATTGCTTCTTTTCAAGATATCTCTTTCGAATTCCTCTTTTTCCTTTTCTTTGGCAAACTGTGTGGTAACCTTTCTAAAAGACGTGGTCAGTTTTTTTTCTCACACACACAGAGTCAGGTCTACTCTTTTCAATAGAGCTCTAGAGGTCAGGCCTGCGTATATCCCAGCCTCCCTAGATCCCACCTCCGAGTGGGATACCGGTTAGTTTATTTTTTTCTTGTACAAGCTTTTGTTGTAAGTTATTGCTTAAGCGTAACTAGCATTTCAAAAATATCGTATCTGACTTTCTTGTCTCAAGGTCATTTTTTTCGAAGTCTACCTCTTTTATATATTTCCTCAAACTTTTTGGGTTAACTTTCTTTTTCACGCACTTCACCTGCGATCTTCACAGAAACACTGTACTCTTTGGGTTAGAGGTCTGCATATGTCTAACCACCCCCACACCACTACACCTACAGGTGGGATATGCTAGGCTTGTTTGGTTTCGTTTGCTTACAAGTCATTATCAATATGTGATGTATAATAATGGTTTATCACGAATAATATAAGACTAAAGGATTGTGTTTTTATGTATATTGTGAAAAATAGTTTAGTCATTGTGTGTGGCATTTGGTTAAAGCATAACATATATTGAGTGACTTCCATGAGCAATAAGTTGTGCTAGTGGCTATGGGTTTTCAGGTAACTATTAGGAGCTAATTTTTCAGAACAAAGTTAAAGGAACTTTTGTTTCATTAATTTAAGACGAGTAGCGTATATTAAAAATGATAAAAACTGCATAATGCAGCCAATAGAATCAAACATTAGACCTAACGCTTTGAGAGTAGCTTCTCTGCCAATGATCTATATTCTATTTTGAGTAGTAGATACATGCACTCACTTTAACACAAATTAAGGAGTTGAGGGGGGGGGGAGTGGCTCTCTGGCATCAAGGTAAATACTCCCCTGCACTGGCATGTGAATTTTGTTAAACTTATACTACCTTGGTGTGTCAAATGCAGATTGGTAAGACAAAGGTGTTTCTAAGGGCTGGTCAGATGGCTGAGCTGGATGCTCGGCGGACTGAGGTCTTAGGAAGGTCAGCTAGTATTATTCAAAGGAAAGTCCGTTCTTATATGGCCCAAAAAAGTTATATGTTGTTGCGCCGGTCTGTTTTGCAAATTCAATCTGTCTGCCGAGGTACTTTCTCATGTTAAATACATTTGATTTTTATTGTTATAAGTAGCTAAAATCCTAAAAGCATGTATAACATTGCCACCTTTTATCATCTTTTCTTAACAGGACAACTTGCTCGACAAGTTTTTGAGAGCATGCGCATAGAAGCGTCTTGTCTGCGGATTCAGAGGGAGCTGCGGATGTATCTTGCTAGGAAGGCTTACAGGGAAGTATGCTTCTCCGCTGTTGCTATCCAAACAGGTTTACGGGGAATGGCTGCACGTAATGAGCTTCGGGTTAGAAGGCAGACAAAAGCAGCAATCATCATTCAGGTCTTACGACTTCTCCTCAAGTGTTGATAATTGTTATTTTTGTAACATGATTCTTTCATTCATTATTGGAGATCATGAATTCTAGTTCCCCCTGTCCCTGGCTATATGTGGGGTTCCATAGAATGGTGTATGATGTATGCATACCCAATCAACATTTCCTGAGGGGATGGTTTACGACTGACATGGTTTTTATTTTACTTAAAGTCAAGATGTTGTTAAATGTGTTTTGATTTTGACTATTTTAGTTCTTCACTCCAGAGACATTGTCGCAAGTTCTTATCCCACTTGCAGTTTGCAAAGTTAAAGAAAGCTGCAATTGTTACGCAATGTGCATGGAGGGGAAAAGTCGCTCGTAGTGAACTTCGGAAGCTTAAGATGGTAAGTTGTTCCAGTCCTTTTTCCTGCACTACTTGTTTGATGTCTTCCTTACGGTTTCTTTGCCATTGCACATTTTCGTTGATTATGGCCCATATATTTCTTGAAAGTACTATCTGGCTCGTTCTGTTATCTTGGACCATAAAAACCATCATCAAGAACGTCGTCTGTTCAGGATCAACATGATATGATATAATGCTAGTCATGTTTGTATTCATCAGCCTTGAACTCATCAAATTATTTATTCATGAAATATATGCAATATATTATTTGGTACTTACTCCTGGTCTTCAAATATAGGCTGCAAGAGAAACCGGTGCTTTGCAAGCGGCAAAAAATAAACTAGAGAAGCAAGTGGAAGAACTGACTTGGCGACTGCAGCTTGAGAAGCGCATAAGGGTACACTTTTGATGGGCCTTTTTGTTTTAGTACCTTCTGAAATTATTTGTTTTTCTGGAGAAAACAAACTCATAAAGATTCCTCTTTAGTACCTTCCTATATGCATCGACTCATATTAAAAAACCTCTTTTTTTTACTGGTTCTCCATACCAAAACCATAATTTTTAAGTTTTATGCATCAATGTTTTAGATGAGAAACTAAATTTATCGACAGGAAGTCATATATAGGTATCTCTTGAGTTACATGTTGAAGAGTACATACACATATTTAACGGGAAAGAAGTATATTATTTTCAAACTCTTAGAACATGAACCAGAATACCAATTAGATCTGGTTGCAAGCTGTCATAAGCAGAACATGAAATTATCTAATAGATTAGTAGGGAAAAAAGGCTTCTCACTTAATGTAAAGCATAAAGCAAAAATGGGGAAGTAAAAGTTACTGCCAGGATATAGTGTAGGCTCTTAAACCATGGTGCAGTGGTTGTACTTAGTTGTGGCAATAATGTGTAGCAAATTATAACTCCGTAACTTGGGTAATGTGCACCTTCTTGCTCTAATCTGTTCCAAAAGAGAGACTACAGGTGTTTTTCTAATCCTGATTTTCAAGATATCATCTACCGAAAGACTGAAATGAATTATCCACCACCTAAATAGATTCCTTGTTAGGCATGAGCATTGAGCTCTGCCTAAAGATTATATGAAACAAGGAGTTCATTTATGATCTATTTGCTATGTGCATTCCCTTGGATTTTAAATTTCCCTTATGACCCTCCCTTTCCTTGGATACACGATCACACTTTTTCCTTGCAGGCTGACTTGGAAGAAGCCAAAACACAAGAAAATGGAAAACTACAATCTGCTTTGCAAGAGATGGAAGTTCAATTTAAAGAGACTAAAGAACTGCTTATGAAGGAACGTGACACTGCCAAAAAGGAAATTGAAAAAATCCCACTCATTCAGGAGGTCCCAGTTGTTGACCATGAACTCATGGATAAGCTTACTGCTGAAAATCAGAAACTCAAAGTAAGATAGGTCAAGTTAATTCAGCTTTGATGATCATGTGTGTTGTGGTATGTTCTTTGAGTATTGTGTGCTTGAAACATTTTCTATGTTCGTAAATACTTGACAGGCTTTAATTGGCTCTTTAGAGAAGAAAATAGGTGATACCAAGAAAAAATATGAAGAGAGTAACAAACTCAGTGAGGAGAGGTTGAAGCAAGCTTTAGAGGCAGAGACAAAGATTATTCAGTTAAAGACTGCTATGCAGAGGTTTGAGCCAATTATTTTAATCATGTATTCTTATGCAAAGTCTTCATATTTAAAATAACCATTAATTGTAATCCGATATCTAATTTTGGCTCTGGTTACATATGTGTACAATCTATGTTTGATTACTCAGTCTTCAAGAAAAGGTTTCTGACATGGCATCTGAGAACCAGATTCTTCGACAGCAAGTGTTTTCTTCACCTGGTAAACGTGCGCCGGAAGATCCACATACTCCAGACACTAATGTGAGCTTGGCTGTATAAAACTGTACAGATTTATCTAACTGACGAAGGATTGGGTAAGAATAGGAGTTAAGATGAGAAGTGTAAGAAGGGATTTGGACCCTTGATCACTGTTACTCCCAAAACAACCCATGAATTGCGCTTTAGAAGGGAATTGATGTAGCGTATCTCATTAGTGTTGATTAGTGGTTCTCTTCAATTAGAATTGATCCAAGGGTGGAGATCCCTTCTTACCCTTCTCACCATAACTTCCATTCTCAACCGAACTCACCCTTATCTAACTTCTCTCTCTTATTCCTTTTGTTACTAAACATTTTAATGTTTGAATATTTTCCAGCCAAATGTGCAAAATGGTCTTCATGGAAATGAGGTGAATACATCAATATTTGTACTTTATTTATCACAGACTCGCAGTACATGTGAACTGTTGGCTTTGTTTTCAATTCACTCGTCATGCTGAATATATATATACATGTCTGCAGGAGCCCCAAACACCTGCTAGGAATTTGGTGGCTGAATCTGATGGCAAGCCTAAGAGACCACCAATTGATCGTCAACATGTACGATCTACACTTTGGAAGAATTCCATTTATTTATCCTTCAGTCTTTGATACTGGATTTGGTTGTTAGTGGTAATACGTGAATTCGAATGTGGGTGCAGGAGAATGTAGATGCCCTCATTGAATGTGTTATGAAAGACACTGGATTCAGTCAAGGCAAACCTGTTGCAGCATTTACCATATACAAATGCCTTCTCCATTGGAAATCTTTTGAAGCTGAAAGAACTAGTGTGTTTGATAGGCTTATTCAGATGATTGGTTCAGCAATCGAGGTACTTTCTCAATATGATAAAGGAAACACTATTTAGAAAACAAATAAATTGGCCGGTTTTGTTTGCAGCTTATTGAACTTAATAGGATACAGCTTATTCGGTTAGCTATACATGACAGTTTGGTAGTAGCTTAATGAATATAGAAAGTGGCTTATTCAGTGAGCTTCTAGAGAGGAGCTTTACGCCGAAAGCCAAGTTTTTTTCCAAACCTGCCACTCCCAATTAAAAACACGCTCCTTCCATCTATGAGAAAACCTTCCCAAACAAAAACCTTTCCAATATATACAGACAGATTAATCCACACAGACAACTTTATCCATATAGGACTTAATGGAAAACCAACCAAACAGCCCCTCTCTATCTGACTCATCTATATATTATATTCTCTCAGTATTCATCCCTTGATTTGTAACTTGCAAGTAAAAGTTATTGGATATTTTCAATCATAAAGACGGTTCACCTTATTGCAGAATCAAGATAATAATGAGCATATGGCATATTGGTTATCAAATACGTCTACTTTGTTGTTCTTAATCCAAAGAAGTCTAAAACCTGATGGTGCAAGTTCAGTTCGGAAACCACCACCTCCAACCTCGATATTTGGAAGAATGACAATGGTATTGATTTTGAATCTTATTATTGGTTTTTTATTATTTTTTTGAAGTATATATAATATTTATATATGTGGCAAATACTCAAGCACACTCGTGGTGAGGTTTGAACACTTAGACCTCCTAGGACTGGGCTCTACCAGTAGTAACCCGGATACCGCCTGGGCCGATAACCCTTTTGGTTACTGGTTTTTATTATTAACTTACACATTAATATTCCATGGTATTTTTTTCTACTTGATTTAGGGATTTCGCTCATCCTCGTCTTCTGTCAGCCTTGCTGCGGCTGCAGCTGCACTTGAGGTTGTTCGGCAGGTTGAAGCCAAATACCCAGCTTTGCTTTTCAAGCAGCAACTAACAGCATACGTGGAGAAAATGTATGGCATTATTCGTGACAGCTTGAAGAAGGAATTGGGGTCATTACTTACCTTGTGTATTCAGGTACTTGAACTTTCATTCGTCCTCATCTATGACCCTATGCTGTTACAGCGGTCAAAATATCAAATTGCGGTCAGTACTGTGATTTGAAATAGCAGTTGTCCCGGTGGTATAGCGGTTCATATAAATATTCAGAATTATATACATAGGGTCAGGTCAAAACCGCAAAAAATGGAAAATTGAAGAACACCCTAGTAACCATTCATCTACACAGTATGCACATTTGCATACAAGCAATTTGTCCGGCATGCACATAACATGCACACGTGCATAAAAACCAAGAAACAACTTCAATTACACATGCGCATACCATCCAGATGAATGGTTAGCTGAGTGTTCCTCAGTTTTTCATTTTTATGGGGTTTTTTTCTGGAACAACGTTGTCGCATGACACTTCACTACTTAAAGCCCAAGTGTCCATACAACTTCTTAACAAGTTTCACCTTAAGAGTCGGTTGATTTTAGTGTCTACTTCCACTAATAACAACTCAAGGCTCGACACACTTAAGGACTACCTCCAAGGCATTACCTCAAGCGACGGAGATCCTAGTGCTACGGCTACCTCCAAGGTAGCACCTCCAGACTCAACCCTCCTAGTGCCTACTTGAAAAGTTTGAAGGTCGTGAAACAAGGTTCCCGGAGTCCAATCCCGCAATACCACATGACCACCAACACAAGACTGACTCACATGCAAATGGATCCATTGCATTACAGTCTAAATTACATGACTCTAAATGAATGACCAACACACTCAAAAAATGTAATATTCAAATCAATATGCCATAAATGCATATAACTCCAAAAGCTCAAGATAGAGCAAATTAAACCGGACAAATGTCCCCAAGCCTCATCGGAGTCAAAACCGAGCCAATAATTCAACAACTCAATTTGACTATTAAATAAAAGTAATCATAATCAATAAACGTATTTAACCAACAATGTGCAAACACATGCCTTTAAGACACGATTAGCTCAAAAACCATCATTAGTTGGGACATACCATTTTCAAATCGAAATCATACCATTTATATTTTCAAAATGTCCCATAATGTAACAATATGCATTTTGCAACCAAATACTTTGAAATGCATTAACACCAAAATAATCTCCATTTATAAGATAAATCATTAGAAGAATCCACACTTATAATTTAGATATCAAAATGTCTAAAACCCCAAATAGGGGTAAAACTACTAAGGACCGAGCGGGGTCCCGTGCACCCGCTCTCTTGATTATCGCAAGGACCAAACCCTAGATTCAAAAGACAAAGATGCGATCTTACCTTCAACTTCTATGAAACCCAAAATCAACAAGGAATCTTTAATTATCATTGTTCCCATCTTTAAGAGCTCAAAAAAACGAATCCATAGCAACAAGAATCATCCAAAACGGAATAGAGATGAATAAGTTATGGCCAAATGAAGTTTTACCCCGAAATTCGATTTTTAAACCCTGCAGGCTATACGCGACCCTGACACGAGACCCTGCCACTCAGGGTCACGAAACAAGGGTCGCATCTTCCCAAAAATCCCCCATACGGTACATAAAGTGCGATCCTAGCTCGGGGTGCAAGGGTCATGATTCAAGGGTCATGAAACACCCTTTTTCTCAGGTTTTGAGTTTTTCTTGCTTATTTTCGACATTCGACCGAATACCAAAACTCCTATTACTTAGCCAAACCATTCCATTGTTGACGAACATATTGAAACTTGAATCCATGCATACCAAAATTTCGGGGGTTACAGGTTAAAACCACAAAAAAACAAAAAAAAATTGAGGAACACCCTGGTAAACCGTTCATCCGGACCGTATGCACATATCCGGATGGTATGCACATGTGCATACAAGTAATTGTAAGCAATTTGTCCGGTATGCACATGTGTATAAAAACCAAAAAACAACTTCAATTACTTGTATGCACATGCGCATACTGTCTAGATGAATGGTTACTAGGAGGTCCTAAGTTTTTCATTTTTTTGGGTATATATCATAAAATATGAATAACTTAACATATTATTTGTAATACATATAAAAAAGAAAAATACTAATAAATTAATTAGATGATGGTGGAAGGATTTAGGAAACGTGGTTGAATGTTCGATGATGTTGAAAACCTAAATCTTATAATCGGTAAAGATTAATAGATGGATTACATGATTTAAATAATTAAAAAAACAAGTCCAAGTCCAAAATAAAAGCCCAAATCATTTAAATAGGTCCAGTATAAGCTGTTTAGACGAAAAAAAGAGCCCAACCACAAATAGTGGTTATGTGGACCGCTATTTTGTGTAAAAAGCGGCCATTTAGCGGTAAATAGCACTGCAATTCTCGGCATCGCTATTTTGGACCGCAATTTAACCACCGCAATTCCTTCTTGGACCGTGAGCTGCTATTGCACCGTTGTTTACAGCATGGCTATGAACCCATTGTGTAACCATACATTCAAATTCCTAGTTTTACATGACTTCCTGTATAACATATGATGCATTTGTCCATCTTACCATTGTGAAAATTCAGGCTCCACGAACATCCAAGGGAGTGCTAAGATCTGGACGGTCCTTCGGCAAAGATTCTCAGTCCAGTCATTGGCAAGCCATTGTTGAATGTCTTGGCACTCTTCTCAGCACATTGAAAGAAAATTTTGTATGTGCATTTATCGATGGCCTTTCTATATATATTAGAATACTAAGAGCATCTCCAACAAATTCTCCAAAATTTCTCCGAAATGAAGAATGAAATTTCAAAATCTTTAAAACAAAAATACATTCAACTCCAACATATTCTCCATTTTTTGAGATTACAACATTGATTATGCTATTAAAATATTCCTTTCATCTAATAAAATATTATCTTTCTCTAAATGTTTATTTTCAAAGTTTCCTATCGGTGGAAATATATAAAATAATGTTTCTTTCATTGTAATCATTTTTTGGATGTTCTCCAAATTTCGAGATTTTTACACTCCCTCTCCTACTTTCTCCATTTTGGAGAATCTGTTGGAGCAAAAAGCATGCCAAAAATCTCTATTTTCTCCAGGAATCTGTTGGAGATGCTGTTATAGCTGTAAGCTGCTGCATTTTTTTTTGGCAAAAGTGAAAGTATCATTGATTGATAAACATGGATACAATCGGTTCCAAGTCGTTGGAATTAAACAAACATTGCCTAAACTTCTACTATTGCATGAAACTAAATTGCAACAGCTCAGAAAGATATTTTGAAGTCAAAATTTCTCACATGCATCAATTTCAGGTGCCTCCCATAATTGTTCAGAAGATATTTACTCAAATTTTCTCATATATCAATGTGCAGCTCTTTAACAGGTGTTTTGGTGACTCTACTTTTGTTTTCTTTTTCCTGGCATATTTCTTGGCTTCTTATCTTAAGTATTCTTTTGGAATTATCTTCATTCGCCAGTCTTCTTCTGCGCCGGGAGTGTTGTACCTTCAGCAATGGGGAATATGTGAAATCTGGGTTAGCAGAGTTGGAGGTATGGTGTGGTCAGGCAAAAGAAGAGGTAATGCATTATTCTGACATTTCTGATGTGTATATTTATGGTTGCATGCCACATTTTTTCTTGGAAACAACTGTAGTTTTTTTTTTCTTTTTTTTTGAAGTATATAATATTTATATACCGCGAAACTCACACACACACTCCTAACATTTGATGAGGCTTGAACCAGTCGGCCTCTCTACCTGGGCTGTACCAGTAACCCTGATACCGCCGGCCAATGACCTTTTGGTAGAAACAAGTGTAGTTGCTGGTGGTTTTAACTAGGGATGTTTGGTTGGTTTTCCATGAAGTTCTGTATGGATAAAGCTTCCTCTGTGTGGATTAATTTGTCTGTATAGATTGAGAAGATTTTTGTTTGGGAGGGTTTTTCATAGAATGAATGAGCATGTTGTTTAATTGGGAATGACAGGTTTGATTTTTTTTACTTTCTTCATAAAGCTCCCACTAAATGAATAAGCAACGCTTTACATCATTAAGCCACTGCCAAACAGTCATGTTATAGCCAACCAAATAAGCTGTGAGTCTCGTTAAGCTCATTAAGCTGCTGACAAAAAGGTCCTTAGTTATGGAAAATCACAGGGAGTGGAATATATTAACAATTGCACCTTTCACAAAAGATAAAAAAAGACAGGAAAAGCAACTGTAAATCTATATCAAGAAGTTCTTTCCGATAATATTTTGGAATTCCATCAAAATGTTAACAGGAAGCTTTTCAAACATTAAAGACTGCTAATGCCTAATCATATGATCAACCACATGTTCTTGCATTGCAGTATGCAGGCTCAGCTTGGGATGAACTTAAGCATATTAGACAGGCTGTTGGGTTTTTGGTATGTATCGTCCAATTAAGTAATTAAGTTGTATCTTAGATTTAAGTTCTATATCTGTTTGGGTTACGATCTAGCAATCCATCTCTACCTTATTCAACATTTTTATGACCCTCAGGTTATACATCAGAAGTACATGATATCATATGATGACATCACCAACGATCTATGCCCAGTAATTAACTCTCTCTCTCTCTCACACACACACACACTCAAAATGAGATCATAAGTTGTAAGCTTCTAGCGGGATCTTCTATCATAGATTAAAAACCTTAGAAATATGAAAATATCGACAATGCATATTGAAGACGTTGAGTACTTAACATTGTTGCATGTGCAATCATGCCAAGGTTCTTGTTGGACATTGGATGCCTAGTGAATTTGTGGACGGCCGTTCCAATCATGGCAAGGTGTACCTAGCCTCCAAAAAGATTGGAACAACCCTGCACAAGTTCATACCATATATTATGTTAAATATCTTACAAATTAAAATAACAAACGTGTCTTAAAATGACAACGTAACATATGAAATTCACTTTAAAATAATGTTCATCTAGCCTTCTTCGAAAGCCGGAACCAGGAATCGTCAAATCGGCTAAAAATCGTCACATCAGCTAAAAGAGTAAAAGCTTAAAACATTATAATTGGGCTGAAACATGTATAATTAGGCTAAAAGTTAAAACATATATAATTAGGTAAAGGCTAAAACATGTATAGGGTCAGGTTCAGGAGAAAACCGCAAAAATATGAAAAAATAGGGAACACCCTAGTAACCATTAATCTATAACGTATGCACATGTGCATACAAGATATTTGTTAAGTAATTTTTCCAGTATATACATGTGCATGGAAACCAAGAAACATCTTCAATTACTTGTATGCACATGTGCATACCGTACAAACGAACGATTATTAGAGTGTTCCTTAGTTTTTCGTTTTTTTGAGGATTTTCCCCTGAACCTCACTCAACATGTATAATTGGGATAAAGGTTAAAACATATATAATTAGTAAAGACTAAAACATGTATGCTCTATATCTCATATCCGTACACCCTTAGGCACGGTCCCTTCTCCATCCCTCCAGCACGTTACAGTTTTTTAAAGGGAAAACTGCTGGTTGGATGCTTTACGGCACGTTACTCAAATGAAACATGATAGAATGCTTATGTTGCTCTCTCTCCCTCTCTAATTCTCTAACTTGACACTATTTTTATTCCAGATTCTAAGTGTCCAGCAGTTATATAGAATATGCACTCTTTATTGGGATGACAACTACAACACTCGAAGTGTATCCCAAGACGTAAGTGCAACATGCGAAATTTCATCTTTACTAGAACCTCCGATAAACCAAACTGTTTCCGTTATATGGTATGTAAACTACCCGGACTATATGTTATCTTTAACCAGGTTATTTCAAGCATGAGGATACTTATGACAGAGGACTCGAACAATGCTGTCAGCAATTCCTTTCTTCTAGACGATAATTCCAGGTATAATACAGGAATTTTTCTTTCGATGAATGCTACATCATATATGTATATATGTAGAGGGGGGTGGGGGTGTTCAACAAGAACAATAGCCAAATAAGAGAACACGAAAACGGCCAAATCACGTGCAAATCACATGTGATTTTACATTAATAGTCAATGTAAGGGTGTGCAAGCGACGTGCCCCACAACCTCAGGTCATGGCCAAAGTCGCGTGAATTACATGTGATTTTATACGTGATTTTAGTGTAAAATCACATGTGATTTGACCATTTTCTTATTCTCTTATTAGTTACTATTCTTGTATGAACCTGATTTTCTCTAAATATACAAGGGGCTAATCATGTGAGAACCACAAAAAGGTTGCAATCTAGGAGAACCAATCTCAATCACATGATTTTTTTTTCATCTAAGGCTATGATTTAAGGTACTGTTTCCAACGTATAATTATTTTCACAATGTATTGTTTCAAAATGTGAAACTTTTTTACATGTTTTTTTTTTTTTGTTTCACAATGTGAAACAACACATTATTCACAGGTTCTCACGATTCTCAAACCTTTTTAAAGTTCTCATTTGATTATGCCCCTATACAAACATAGATACACACACATACACATATAGTCGGTTTCATACGAGAATAGTACCTATTTAAGAAAATAAGAGAATGGCCGAATCATAGTGATTTTACGCTAACATCACGCACAAAATCACATGTGATTCATTCGACCTTGCGTGCAACCTTGCCACGCGGCCATAGGGTTGCCCGCACACCTTTCCGGCCGTTAATGTAAAATCACATGTGATTTTGTACTTAATATGACCACTCTTATTTTCTTAAATAGGTACCATTATCATCTGAACCTACCTCTCTATATACATATATATAGAGTTGGGATCTCGTGAGACCCATGAGACCCATCCGAGTCCTTGAATTAGTTCTTTTTAGATTGCGACAAACCTTCACAGCAAGCATATCAGAGCTTCACATCAACACACACCAAACCCTCACATGAAAATACATCGAATATTCAAAGGAAAAATACATAGAAGAGTCCCGTAGTTCCTTGTTTCTATTGACAACTACGGGACTCCAACTTGGGCCTTTTGTACAAAGATAGAAGCATTTACCATCTTAGCCGTTAAAGTCTTGTTCAAATTGTTTAGTTTCAAAAACTATATGGTGGCACCCAACAAAACAATATGATAAGTGGCACTCTTTAGAAACGTAATTTTTTCCCCTTATGATGAATCCATGAAGAAGTGACCCCATGCCACCGTATCATTCCATGTGGGTCCGCCTCTGTATATGACCCCGTGCCACCGTATCATTCCATGTGGGTCCGCCCCTGTATATGACCCCACCCAAAAACCAACCTCCAGAAACAATCACAGCAAATCCTCCTTTAGATTCTTAATTGCCATTATCCTACTTATCCATTGCCAAATGCCCAAATCCAATTTAACAATCTGTTTCTCCAAATGCAGCATACCTTTCTCTGTTGATGACCTCTCTACTTCCCTTAAAGTAAACGATTTTGCAGACGTAAAACCTGCTGCAGAACTCGTCCAAAATCCCGCCTTTCTCTTTTTACTCGTATAGAACGGACCACACCGTATTCTCATGTTTTGCCAAGGTATAGCATAAGTTCCATTTTATATATATATATATATATATATATATATATATATATATATATATAAAAGAAATACATTCTATATTTCTTCATTTATTTATTTTTATGTCTTTTCTTGGCTCATTTATGCCAAACTGTGAAAGTGTTGTTTTTATGTTACATGTCTGTAAAGTTTCCTTCTTACAAAGGGGCAGCAGGGTCAGGGACATTCTCTGTTGATTGTGCAAAGTGTATGCTTTTTTTTGGTCCCTTGTGCGACTAGACTCTCTTTCTGTAGATTGTGGGGTCCCATTAATATATATAAATAGACTTGGGATCATGTGAGACCAATGGTTTTTCGTGAGACCCGTAAGACCAATTCTCAACCCTTGGATTAGATTTACAATCGTCAGATCTGAACATTTATAAACGCCACGAGACTTCTCACTAATTACGAAATTGCCACCTTGCAACTTTGCAACCATTAGATCATTAATTCATAAATTTGATCAATGAATATAAATTGGTCTTACGGGTCTCACGAAAAACCCTTGGTCTCACGTGAACCCAACCCTATATATATATATATATATATATTAATGAGCTACTCAAGCTCGAGCTTAATAACTCGAGTTCGAGTCGATCTTGTACACAAAAACAAAGCTCGTTTAATTTAACTCATTGAGCTTCATAACACTATATTCGATTCAACTCGTTCGAAAGCTCAATGAATTTTACGAGTTGAATCGAACCATTCGAGCATACACTTTTTCGACCCAAACATATTTATATGTTTGTAAATTGTATAATCAGAATACATATATATTATCGAGCTTGAGCAAATAAACGAGTTAATCGATCTCGAGTTCGTAAAACAAGCATCGAGCTCAAACATTGAAAATGTATTCGAGCTCAAGCTCGAGCCTGACTTTGAAAAAATCATTCGAGCTCGATTCTGATATTATTTTTCTAAATTGAACTTGAATAAACCTGCTATTCGATTCGTTTATATGGAACATGTGCTTGGTGTACAGCAACCTTTTAATGGGCTTAATGAATGTCTGAGTTCCATAAGCTTGGTGTGTTGATTTTGTACATGGTTACATGAGACATATTTTTGTACAAATTCACATGTGAATAATATGATTTATATTTAACAATATAATTTTTTTTTCGAAAATTATGGAAGTTTCAAAAATTATACAAATTTTATTTTATTGAATTTGAAGTCTTGACCTTGTTAAGATAAAAAAGCAGGGTTGGTCCAAGTTCTTTTGATATGTAGACAGAAATACTGAATGGTAATGTTAGACCATCTTTAAGGGTGCGTTTAATACGCAGACAAGACAGGTCAGGACATATAGTATTCGATCAGTAGAATCGATCATTTAGAAATCACAGGTTTTTGAAACAGAAATCGACCATTTTAAAAATCACAGGTGTTAGAAACAAAAAATCGACAATTTTAAAATCGATCATTTGAAATCAACCATGCAGAAATCACAGATTTTAGAAGTCAAATCAAATAAATTGATTTTTGGAAAACTTAGAAACCGATTAGGATAAATCAATAGAAGTTAGAAATCGATGGAGAACTTAGAAACCGATTAGGATAAATCGGTTAGGAGACATTTTAGAAATCAATTTGGAAATACCTGAGGACGAAGATCGATGAGCAGGAAGGAGGCAGATGTTGTTTGAAAGGCGTATTATGATTTTAGGGGTATATTGGTCAAATATTTCCTTGTTTCATTTAGTTCCAGCGGATAAGGGTGAGCACGCGTGTCCCATATGTCTGCGTACCAAACATAGGACAAGTGTGTCATGTCCCGTCATGTTCTGCGTACCAAACGCACCCTAATCATTTGTTTGTATCAAAATGGTGTAAAATTTAGTATAAACAGTCATTCATTTCCAACAAATTATATCATTTTTAACACCAAATACTATTTTTGAAATATATTTCTTATTTGTAGCTTTTAATTATTCTCAATAAAACCCTTATATTTATCAGTTTTTTTTAACAAATTTGATCTGTAATTTCTGTGTTACGAGAACTTTATAAACTGTTATATGGTTTTTGTAAGACAAAAAACTCAAACAAATTTAAATTTTTATGTGATTAATTTTATTTTATTTTAAATAAATATGTGTTGACATGAAAACAAGTTCTTAAGATTACGATAATTGAAAATAAAAGTAACAAAAGCAAATTTTAATTAGTAATAACGAGTTAAGAGCATGGGCCTTGTTAATGCCCTTTACGTTTGGTAGGGATGCTTTTGATTGGGTTGATCGGGTTGAAGATATTTAAACAACTCAATCTAATGCTTGCGGTTTGAAAAATCTTAACCCAAACCAAAGTGCAACCCAACCCAACTCAAACAGTACGGGTTGATGTGGTTGATACTTTGGTACATTAAAATGTTTTTCTAACCTTGAATATATTATTTCTTTAGTCATAATTTCTTTTTCAACATCAACAATTTTATACAACTTATCCATATTTCTTACGTATATCACATTCAATTAATTTTCTCAATTTACATATATATATGTTCATATTTACTAAACATATATATGAATGTGTTATGTAGAGATGGATAATAAATTGAAAATATGTATATATGAATAACGTATGTGATAGTGTAATTGTCTAACGTATATATTAATATAAACTCAACAATCATATTAAACTCAAAAAATAAAAGGATATCGGGTTCATGGGGTTGGGTTAGGTTCAAATAACAATAATCCAATATCAACTCAATACCTACAGTTTGAAAAATTTACAACTCGATTAGACATCAACTTGTTTCGGATTGAGTTATTTCACGTTGGATTGGGTTGGGTTGATCGGGTTTTTGAGCACCCCTAACGTTTGGTATGCCTTGAATCCTGTCCTGCCACCCACACCTATAGTCGGCTCTGATTAAAAAGAAAACAATGGGTGTTTTTATATGTAAATCATAAGAAAGAAAAATAAACTAAGGGTGCATTTACCCAAGAAGGAACAAAAATCCTTTTGTGGTCACGGGGATTCGAATACGGTGACTCTGGGTCACCTACAAAGCAGATGGTTGTCCTGAAATTAGTCGGCTCACAAAACGGATTGGATATCTAGGTTAATTAAAAAAAATAAAGCCTAAGTTTCTAATCATTCTTTTTATCATTTATGATTTATTTCTTCAAATGGTTCTAATGCATGTAGCCATGTGAGGCCATTGAGCTACCAAGTGTTTAATAGTACCTACACCAAAAGCATTGTGCATCAAGTGTTTGTACTTTTGGCCACATGCACTTCACTTCATTGCTTTATATTAAAATCCCAATATTTTATTAAAAAGTTGTACTTCAATTATTTAATCAATACAAATGTGTCTTTAAAATTTATATTTAAATAAATACAACAAACTTTAAAAATAGTATATTCAAGTTTTTTTTTAAATACATAATATTTATATACGGTAAATATAATAAATAAACTCATACATTATTCTTACATTTTGTGGGGTTTGAACCTTTGATCTCTTAGAAGACCAAAGACTCACATATCGCTAGGCTAAAGACACATTGGTTTGTTTGCTCAAGTTGTGTCCATGTATATATAATTATGGTAAATAGAACAAAAACTTTATGGCCCAATTTTACATATGTTTAGGGTATTTTCATCGAGCTGTAATTGTTAATTATTTAGGTTTAGATATAAATTATTAATGGTGTGAAGTTTAGGTTAGGTTCAGATTGGATGTTTTTTGTGGGTATTTTGGTCAAAGGTTGTAACTACACGACCTGTTTTTTTGAAGGTTTTTCGTATTTAATCTGTTTTAGCTTTATAGAATTTTATAAAAGTTTCGTATTTAATCAATTTTATTTATTAGTATAAGGCAATTGGGGTTCTCGTTAATCAATTTTTTGTTTAAATATAATTAAAGTAGTTTATACTGTATTATAAAGCATATGACAAAAAAAAACTCTTCAAAACCATTTTTTATGCATGAAATATTGTTTATTGATGCATATTATTTAAATTTAATATTATAGGTAAATTGTACGCAAGTATAACTTACTAAAACTTTATTCTTAAATTCGTGTAACTAACTGCAGATAAACATCTCATTTTTTAAATATAAAAAAATTAAAATATAGTTAGGATAATCATTGGATTCTAACAAAATACTTAATTATTATCTTTATAAAAAATTATATTATTAAACCAAAAATAAAAATAATGAATTAAAGAAATACACAAAAAAAGGAGAAATTTTAAATAGTGTTGTTTGACAATTGTTGAATGATTTTGTGCAGAATGATTAAGAGGCTCTCATGATATAGTGCAAAATGAAATATAATTATTGGGTAATTGTTTACACCGAAATTAGGGCGATGAATGGTTAAGGGAGCCTCATGATACAAAATCATTCAGAGCGTTTTAGAACCATTAAGATTTTTTGCCAAACAATATTCATCTCTTAACGATTCAGAGACTGCCTCTTAATGGAATTATTAAAAAGTAAACAAAAAAACCCTTTAGTATGGTACTAATATCAATATTCTTTTTCATTTTTTTATGAAATATCTTCCTATTTATATTTTATTCAAAAATAAAAACATTATCGTTTTCTCAAAACCACATAAAACTGTATTGTAACATCGACTGAAACAAAAAAAATGAAACATTAAAATCAAGATGCATCTCATTGCATTATGCAAGTACCCTTCTAATTATACTTAAATATAATAAATAAATACATAGTTAAAAGTATATAAAGGCTTGTTATGATTGTATATGATTAGAGTTAATAAAGAAATCTTGAAATCTATATAATATTATCACCTTTAAATCTTAATTCATCCTTTTTATTCTTTGACCAATTTCTTGAATATTGAAAGGGGAGTGCTAATGACACCCCCTTTGATGTCAGAATCAGGTTATTTAAGCATTGAGAATGTAAAAAGCATGTATTGATTTTGATGTTTGTGAGGAAGAAATTCATGGATATGGGTGCATTTAGCCCACCCCTATTGAAA